CAATTGCTCTTCAAAGTAAAGTATATCGTTTTGTAAAGAAAATTTTTCTCTATCTTTACTCGTGTGTCTGGCATCTGGGAAATTCCAAAATTCGAAGTTTTGTTCAATAGAAATATGAATCATTATTGATTAGTTTGAGATGTCATAGGTGAAGATTCATCTACTTTTACTTCTCGCATTTCTTCCAGAATTTGAAACAATATTACAAGCGATAGTACGATTAAAACCAAATATAAATAGTCTACTAAGAAAACTGTGACTAGAAGCGTGTGAATAATAAACGCTTCGAAAAACAAGATGAAAAAAATATTCAAAAGTCATCTATGAGATTTTACTTGAAAAAAGCTATAGAAAGTCTTACTCCACCAATTATACGTGCCAATCTATTTTCTACCATCGAAATGCAACAAAATGATCGCCTTATTTAGTTTTACAAACGCTAAAATTTTCACTTTGATAACAGCTATTTGACGTAAACAGTGTAAAAACAGCATGAAAATACCGCACTAATTAACCCATTTGTTGTCTTATTATATATATATATATATAAAGAGAAACAGAGTTTTTTCTTGAGTTGTCTATGATAATATTTGTTGTAATTGAGGATTTACGATTCTCTTGTTGTAAATGTTATTTATCATTTTACTATTCCATTCATGACTATGATCATTATTTCTGATGATTGAATGAATATTTTAATAACTATTCAATTTTTCTTTCGATGATTATGAATACATAATAGAAAATAAGAATAAAGAATAATGATCTAACATTCAAAGTTATATTTAATATTGCAGTATTAAGAAAGAGTTAGATCTAGTAAGAGTATTCTTAGGGGGTATCCAAATGTCACCAATATTTGGGAGAGGAGGGCAAGGCGGGAAGATCCTTGCTGAGAGGAGTAATGAGCAAAAAGACAAAAAAAAGGCATCCACTGAGTGCTCTCAAAAGATTTCTTATTCAATATTCTTTATTATTTTAATTGATATTTTAGTTCTTATTTGATGAAAATTTTTGAAAACATTTTGTTAGATTATAGAGCTTCGAAAAAAGAAGAAAAACAAACCATTGATCACGCAGTGAAACAATACGGTAGTATCAGTCCATTAAGATATTCCTAAATGTATATATTCCTTCAATGTTCGTCTTAATAAATGGACTTTATATATTAATCTTTAGTTGTTGTATCTTGTTGGTGTAATAATCGTCTTATAAAAATAGATAAATGCTAATCATATTGGAACAGTTAGAGCTGAGCAAGTATATACTATTACTCGACAAGACCCATGCTTGCTTAGCTCTAGAAATAGTTATTTTTCTAGTTTATTGTTATATGTTTCACTTTATCAATGTTTACTAAAAAGGAAACAGAAATTCTAGTATAGCAACATTTCTCAAAACTAATTTAGTGAAAGAATATCAAATCTATGTTGAGTTATTGTTCGATAAACTTATCAAAGTTAAACTGTTGATGTCAAATTAGTATGGAGAAAATGCAAATGATTGAATACAATATTCTCTACACCGGTATTAAATAATCTAAATCCATTGTCTCGTATTAGTTTTATCAGCTAATTATTCTCTGACAGTTAAACAATCTTTTCTATATCATTAATATTTCTTTGAAATTAGATCAATGATTAAGATTTATTTAAGACAATAATTTTCATTGTGTCAGTAGATTTGATTGAAAAAATATATTTCTAATAAAATAAACCTGTAATCTTTGTTTCTTACAAAATAAATCAAATAGAGTAGTATATCTGATAAACATTAATAAGAAAGACAAACATTGCATGATGGGAATTATTTATCAATGATTAATTTGATTATGCGCATGACAATAATTATCGAGATCATAAAAATAATGAGAAACAGGTGGATAATATATCATCACGAAAGTCTTTTTCATTCAATAATTAATAATTATATACATTCTAGTACCATATCAAATTCAAGGATACTTACATCGAGGCTAAAAACATATGAATATTATATGGCGAAACAATTCTAAGCAAAAGAAGGTTCGTCTATTCGGAAATAATTAAATTATTGATGTGATGAACAAATAAAATCGATTAGCTTATGTTCTTTTAATTAACATATTTATAATGTACTACAAAAGTACTTGAAAGTTAACAAATTATCTTTGTCTTTTGATCATTTTCATATTACTTGAATTATTCAACCAAAACAAACTTTATATAAACGATAAATGCTTTGTCGAGTAAAATAATATAGAATGTTATTAAAATTTTTGTTTTTTTTTTCTTTCGATTCATGACCTCTCGTTTATATTAAAAATAATTAATACCCGACATTTACTATCGATTCATAAATAATTTAAAACTTAAACAATGCGACAGAAGTTTATTGATGGCACGATCGTTTTTATAGATTCTTAATCTATTCGTTATCTCATTGTCAGTAAGAATTGAATATAAGAATCGAAAAAATTTAGTAAAAGATGTTAAAGTTATTCATAATAAACCAGTTTTCTCAGTACATCTTCTAAATTCAATTAATTGATTTGAAAGAATAAAATATATAGGTAGTATGAGTTTAAATACTAAATAGACCATAGCAGAAAAAAAGAATCTTTACAATTTGTAACGAAGTTTTTTCAAGGAGTTTTATGCTTGAACGATGAAATATATTAATCAATAGGTAAATATTATTCAAGCTAGCTATTTTGAAAATTGTCATGTAGTAAAAATTCACACGTTTCATTGAACTACCACAAGAGTAACTGTGAATATTAACGATGATCATGAAGTTCAATAAATGGTCTCATAACTGATTAATCGCTTTTGAGTCAGGACAATGTGCATCATGTAGATTTTCATTAGTTATAAATATCCTGAAAATAGTTCGTGCTGTTAGGTTATTATTGTCGACATACGTCATTGTTAGAATAATTTTTTAAATAAAACTCGTAGTCTTCTTCAAGAACAAGTGAAAAACTAATTTTAGATTTTCGACTTGAAATCTTGTACAGGGTAGACTTTAAATAAAATAGTTTATGATGAAAGTTTGACCTTTTGTGATTTGTTCCTGTTCTGAAATAAGAACATCGAATGTGCAAGTTTATGTGAACGATGTAAAACACACAGTTTTATCATAGCCGTATCTTATGATAAGAACAATGAAAAGATCTAAAACCATGTGCAGTCATCTTTTCTGTTTAAAGTCTATCTCTGTGTAAAATTTCAGGCCACATTTCTAAAATTAGTTTTTCAGATGTCCATGTAGGACACTGTGACATTAATTTAAAAAATATTCACATCCTTTAATTACTATGTCAACAGCAATAAGCTAATAACACGAAAGTTTTTCAAGGTATTCATAACTCATGAGGGCTGCATGATGTACATTGTCTTGACTCAATAGTAATTAGTCGATTGACGGATTTCCCTCATCAATAATTTTTTTCTCTAGCGGAGAAACCTTGTCTTTTCAAAGATTGGATTGATCCTCCTTAGATTATGCGATTATTTTAATACATATTATGTGTTTGTGTTTCCAGAAATAAGTGTTCTCCGTACTCAAGCTTTAATCGCATCTAAGGGAGAGAAAATCTAAATAAGACACTATTTCTCAATTATAAATGCATTAAAATATGTTTATCTTCAAATATAAGAGCTTTCTTAATGAATTTCCCCATTCAAAAAAAAAGAAGTTTATTGAAGTTAATAAGATTTCTTCAATAAATAAAATGCGCAATAAGGAAGCATGCATTCCAACTCATTGGTATGATAAAGTCTTTTTATTTTGAGTTTTTCTTACACTCACACCCTACTTGGATAATATGATGTGCTTTAAACATGAAAAAAGTTTAGTATTGACAAGCAAATTGAAAACAATCTAATGAATTATATAACTTATGAGTTCGACTTTTTTTCTAATGGTCTTAAAATCTAACTCATTAATGACATGCAACTTTTACTAATTACATACTGTAGTGAAAACCTTCCACTGCAGATTTATACCTGTAAAGAAGTTTTGCGACCAAGCAGTTTCACACTTATGAGAATTATATTCGTCTATAGAACAACTACTCAAGTTGTTTGACGCATGCTAAATAATAAGAAGCAATTCATTCTAATAAATCCAATCAAATTATAAGAATTCATCAAACTTCTATTTTATAAAGCAGTAAATAGTAGTACATGATCAAAAAAAAAGACGATTATCAATCATTTACTAATGCCAACTATTTTAATAAAAAATAACTTATTTCATTTTTTTTTAATGAGATATGGAAGTAAGGTGTGAATTTTGAGAAAAAAACAATTGATTACTTGCTTTCAAGGATTTTCTTTACTATTTTAAGAAGAAAGTAAACAAAGTTCTATCTTATCTGCCGATGAATTATGCTTTAATTTATTTCTCATGACACTAATTTCAATGAAAAGCTTGCTTTAATATTTCAAAAACTATTTTGATAAGTTAAATATCAAATATGATTCAAAAGACAGAAATCCGACTTTCTTTCGTTAACAGATCAAAGCGAGAAGAACAATTTAGATCACCTCTTACCACGCTTGACACAGAATTAAATTAAAAATTACAAAGTGCTATTCTAGATTTCAACATTCGTTTAATAAGTTCATACATTACAAAGTGTAAATATTTTCTTTTAATTAACGTTTTCCAATATATGCATCGATTCACAACACTCAAAAAGTGTCTTCCATTATACGCTAAAAACTGACAGACAGAATGATGTAGTAAACTCATATAAAATAAAAGAAATAAATTTTTACTACTATATTAAACTTTTTCAGAAAAACACTAAACAAAATGTATATGTCAAAGGAAAAATCAAGTCAATTATTATTAAGCTGTTACATACTCTATAAGAGACATTGAAATCGAAAAAATATAGTAATCAAGTCAACTAACGAAAAAAAATAAGATCATTTAAGCCACATCTATATATATATATATATTATAAAGTATTGACAAAGACATAAAATTTATTATTACAACATAAATATTTAACTTTCTAATAAAGCATGCCATCTTGTTATAGTTTCACCTTGTGCATTGAGCATTGAATCCCAATGAGCTACTTGAGAGTTACCGCTGGCACCATGACCTAAATATAAATATAAGTTCAACTATTAGTTAATTGATAATATAAAAGAAAAAAACAAACAATAATACCAAATGATATCCAACCAAGATTACGATCATCTTTTCTTTTTGATTTTTTATTAATAATTGTAACAACAAGTGTTATTTGATTAAGAAGATTTTCTTCAATATTAAATGGATAACGTTCAGCAAATACAGGATGATGTTGATTACGACGAGTAACTGTTCGATTTGATGCCATTTCTTCTCCAGATGAATTTAGAAGTGTTAGTTGAGCATATGTATCTTTAAAAAAAAACGAAAGCATATTATTGAATACGAATTCATGAAAAACATAGTTAGATACCTGGAGCTTGTTCTTGCAATGTCATACCAAAATTAATTCCTTTTCCTATTTCAAAAATAAGAATCGATTGATTTTTATCATAAGCTAAACCAATTTCAAGTTCTGGTAAAGGAATACTAGTAATTTCTCCACTTGGAGTTATTGAATCCTTTCTTGATTGTGGATTACTACTTGTACGTGAATGATTACTAGCTAAATCTGAATCGTCAGATGACTAAATAAAAAACAAAAAAAATAGATTAAACAACATGAAAATTTATAATCATAATAATATATTTACATATACTGGTTCTAATGCAATAATTTTACACATATCCTCATCAAGATTAATTAAACCAAACATAACTGTTGCTTCAGCAACAAGTTTTTCACGTTTAAATCGTTTATTTAGATATAATCGAAAACGAATACCTTGCGTTTGAATTGATTCTAATAAATAGCATATAAAAAGAAAAAATAAATTTTTTTAGAATATACATACATAGTTTTGTTTTGATAAAACTAACCTGGTGATACTTTACAGAAAAATTCTTCAGCAAACATAGCATTATCAGCAGGTTTAGCTTGTGTACGAAAACGAATACGTTTATGAGGCAACATAGTTAGATGTATTTGAACAAGTGCTTGTTTTAATACACGTTGATCCATTTCTAATGTTGCTTTTATAATAAATACCCACATTTTGCTATTTTTAGCATCAAATTTTAATCGAATTTCAAGTGTACCCGATGAAAAAGTACTACTTGGAGCATTTGTCAATGTTGGACCATTATCACTTGATATAGATTTTGTATCCTATTAAAAAAAATTAATAAATCGAAAAAGTTTTAGATATCAATTAAAAACAAGCATATTTTATTTCTATTAACTATCTTTAATATGGGATTACGTTTAACAAAGACATTTCCGTAAAAATTAAAGTACATTATTATTAAGGTTCTATTTTCAGAAAATGAGAGACCATCGTTATAATGAGTTCAATCCAACAATTGCAAAGATAATGAACCGATTTATCTGTTCTACTAAATGATACTTTTTTTAATGAAATAGCAATGAAAAGCGTTTATAAAAGAAACCACTTCATCATATTCTTTCTTAGATGTGTATTATTATGTAATAACTATTATCTTCTCATACGACCAAAACTGTTTTTCATCGTACGATTTTATACAGAAAAAATAATTCTCTGGAACCTTTGAATTATAGTATGTCGAAATGGGAATAAAAGACAAACTATTTAATCGATTTAAATATGACAATCGTATTTCGTCATCCTTACAACATTAAATTGATCCGTAAGACTATGATTATGATTTGGTCTTTTTCTAAAGCTATGTAATAGAGCAGGTGATGATGGAGCTGATTGTACATATCCAATTGAATCATGATCAACACTTGGTTCTCGTGTTGATACTCGAGTTATTGTTATTTTTTGTCGATCATTAGTTTTTGAATTTAATTTTTTTACTAAAAGCATTAAAGAAATATCATAATAAATTTTCTCTTATTATAAAATACCCTTTTTTGCTGATACATCCTTTTCTTTATGTTCAATAATTATTGGTATTTGTGGTAATTTGCGTTCAGTATTATTTATTTTTTTTACTGGTGGTACTAACGTTGTATAATCATCATCTGGTAAATCTGCACCTATTAGATAGAACAAAAACAAGAATAATTATTAATTATGAATGCTCTATACATTGATAAACAGAATCAAGATAAGTTTAATTTCAATATCAACAATATAGAACAGAAGTGGAAAAACAAGCAAAAATGTCAGAAACTAATTTCCCTAAAGAATTTCAATATTCAATTCACCCCTTATTTACATAGAAGACAAACACGAACAAAATCTATGACGTCAACAATGATAATCTTACGGAAAAAAGGATAATAACACATGTTTGTTAATAATAATAAGCCGACAAATGCTTGACAAGTATTAATCGAGATATGAATGTACGAGCACTTTTACAGAAGTGCGTTTCTTACATCCGCTCACGCAATTATATGTGAAGTTTACTAGTTAATGTCTAGAAAAAAAAAGATTTATATCAAGTAAAAAATTCCTCTTTCTTTTTCAAATATGTAGAACTGAATAAAAAAAACTTACTATAATTAATTTATTTTTTTATAAAATATTAAATTCAATAAAAGAGTAGTCAAATACTGAGATAATTTAACATATCAGAAATGACAAGATGTATTCAATTAAATCTGTTAATGAACAAAAAAGACTAAGTTTTTCCGCTAATAAATAATATTAAGAAAATAACTTGATACTCAAAAGAATTTACAATATTCTTAAAGATCTCAAGAGAGAAAATCATGTACGTTATAATGATCAACGAGAAAACAATATTGACTTAAGTATACTGTGTTTTGATGTTATTTATGCATTGTGTACAAAAAATAAGTTCAAAAAAATAAAAGCGTATAGAAATTTTATGAAAACAAAAGAGAGATAAACTAGAGACAGTTATACCTGAAAATATTCTCTTTTCTCATTTGTTACTTATCATTTCTATCAAAGTATGTAAAGAGAAGAAGAAACGAGTAGAAATACACCAATTTAATGGTTAAGATTAAAACAGAAGAGAATAAAGAAGACAGCGAGAGAGAGAAAAAGAAAGAAATAGGATAAGTCATGACAGGAAATATTGAGCTAATGTCGAATCTGATGAGTTGCCTAAGAAATGAAGAAGAAGCCAAGCAAAAAAAAAGAATTAATGACAAAAATTAATTTATGACATCAATTGAAATTTACATACCCAATTCATTGGTACCTAGTAATGATGACGGTTCAAATGTTTTTCTATGTTCACATTGACCAGCAATCCAAAGATATTCTGGAATTTGTGAAGACGTTCTATTTTTATCTTCAAATTTATTCATAGATGTTATTGAAATAGGTTGAGTAGTTGCAGACGTTGATGTAGATTTTTTTGTTCTAGTAATCCGTCTTAAGAGATGTTTTAAAAATCGATGTCGTGCAAAACAGCAAACTTTTTCAAAGTAAAGTATTAATATAATTGATATAATGAAGACTATGGCAACAAATATTAAAAATCCAACAGCACTCCATGATATAGAGTCTAAACACAAAAAGAAAAGACGCAATAAAACTATCAAAATGAATAGATCTGCAAATTAAAAGTCTAACAAAACGATGCATATAATTTTTTTTTCAATAGCATAAATAAAATACTTATGCGTAATAAGAAAAACACATGCAAGATTTTATTTTATGAAACCTAGTTAATGATCATATCAAAAACTATCTAGTTTATACGTTTGTTTTTTTCTTTTTAGTATTTTTCTACTGTTTTTCGTTAGACTACATACAATAAAACCAAGAATCATCTTAAGAACAATTCAATTATGTGCATGATAGATCATGCATAATTCTAATGTACGGAAATTAAACAGTATAGAATAGTTTCATTTTTATCATTGTGAAAGGAATATTGTTTCCTGTCTTGTTTGTAAGAGCAATGCATGTGTCTTTTACACTTTAATAAACATCAATAAAATTTCATGAGATCCATAACATGTCATTTATCAGATTGATTACTAACTTTTCAAATCTATTCAGATATAATATACAGTTTGATTACTTTATTTTTGATAAGTTGATACAGTGTAGTGTATTTAAATAAAACCTTGGAGATTTCCTATTTCGACATAGTTAGATAGAATATCAATTACTATATAGAACTAAATCTTTTTTAATTGATTCAGTTTGCGTCCTGCCCAAAACTTTGATATACTTCAAATAGTGACCAAAAAAGAGTTCTTTACCTAGAAAATTCGGGATCATTTCGCGGTGAATTTTTTCCATAACTATTATCTTAGATTTGTTCTATACATTTACTTCAAATTTGTTAGTTTTCTGAGAAATTTTTTTGTCAACTTTTTTATGTACTGTTCTCTGTTTTCCCTCAAGGAAATTTTAGTTACTTAAGTATGTGAATTTTTTTTCATTGACGCATGGCTGAATAGAGCATCTATTTCTGTATCGATTCATAGTTTTGATCGTAGTTCTAGCAGGTCTTATAAGTAAAATTTTGTGAAGAGCAAAATAAACTTGGTTTGACATACATACAAAACCGGTCCGAGTTTTAACAATAAAATTCAATTTTCTCTTTTATTTCAAATCTGTTTTGCTTCATATTTTCTACACATTCTAGTTTGATGGATCTCTATTATCTAAAGCACTTTTCATGTTTTACAAATTTAGTTTCGAGAAAATAGAATGTATATGATTTCATAGAGCGATTAGTGCTCTATGTAATAATATCAAAGTAAGAAATATGCGAAGTTCTATAGTCAACACAGCAAACTGAACAAAACTATGAAAAATAACGTAATTAAGCTGTGTATGTATTAAGGAACTGATTATTCAACCTTGTAATTGACTTGTTTCAAAAAAACTATATAAATATGTCTGATTCTGTTCGTGCATTCTTTCTTTTTATATTGAGTGAATTAGTACTTATTTTTCATAAAACATATTCTTCAGTGAAAGAATTAAGAAATGTTCACTCTCTTTTTCAATAAAATTTGAATACGAAAAAAATACTTTCCCCCATAATAAATCTTTCATGAGAATAACCAAATTTAAATATTTTTTTATAGAATAACTTACACTCAGTAGTTGTTCTAATTGTAGTTGTATTTGTTGCGTTCGACGACATTTTGCTCCTTGTTTTTTTTATCTTCGGTTTGTATGTTATAATGGCACCAGCTGTTCTTAGCACTAAAATCTATTGGAGTATTACTTACACGAATAAAGAAAGGCAAATAGCTAGTATATCGGCAAAATTTTCATTAAATCTTATAAGAGATTCCATAAGATTTGTTTTTATAAATGATTAAAACCATTATGTTGATCTTCGTACATTAACTAAGTAGCCATTCAAGCAGTCTTGTAATGATTTTATATAAAATCAATAAAAGGGACTACTATAGTAGTATCGATGTTTGCGCATAGGTCATATAGACTTAAGTCCTATTATACTGTTTTCTATCACTTGATACTCACTGATAGGAAATTAAAAAACTCGAATATTATTCACTGACAAAATGTCTTATTGTGAAAAAGCTATACATTATGTCATATTTAGCACAGCATGGCGATCGTCTATGATAAAGCAGTATTCCATCATTCAGTATGACTTCTTAATGAAATCTTCGTTTGAAAAATGAATAATCGTACATTGATGATGATTTTAGATGTGAATAGCATCACTATTAAAAGTAAGAAAAGTCAAGTAATTGAAGATAATCGAACTGTAACTGAGAAAGTAGCAGATCATATTTATATTTCAAATGTACAATGTATTATATTTAATATGACTACAACCTGTCACTATACTTGAATACACACACATTGAAGGATGATCCGTCCTGTAGAAAGCAGCATTTTGCTCAAGTTTCCAGTTTGAAGGATACAATATGTTCTACAAAGTAAAACTATATCTCAATAAATATGTTGAATACAGCAGGGCTTATGACATATATATATATACATTTGAATCGAGAACTGTATGGACTATGCGCAGATATCAATGCTGATATACATTCACTCCTTTTGGTTATTAAGTAAGATTAGTTCGAGAACTTTCTGACTACTGTATTCATATCACAACTAAACTGATATATCATGTGAGGAGTAATGATTTTTAAGCAAATTTAAAGTAAAGGAAACTCGATGAAATTCGAGTTTCACTCGACTGAGAAATACAATGCAGACTTTTCTCTAAAAGATAATCAGGCTATACTGGATTCAGGACTTCTTTTCTGTCGCTATAAATCATAACAATTACTTCTCCAATGATTAGATGATTAAAGTCAGAAAATAACTATGATGTACCCATCGAAAAATTCATTACTAAGACGACTCTATCAACAATTCATTGATGTCTTAATACTAAGTAAAGAAAGTGGCGGCCAATTTAAACTTACGTTTTCAGATGACATTCTATAAAAAATGGAACATCACATTAAAGATGTGAAAAGAAGCGCTGTCGATTCGATTATAAGAATTCATTCTCGCATTTGGACGAGTGTTTTCTAACGTTCGTTTCTTGAGATTGTTGCGACAGAAACTGACAACTGTTGATATCTCCGTCGAGAACGAAGGATCATTCTATTATTAACTAACTTTGTTTTTCTCGTAAACGTTGATTTCAATCAATTTTAAAAAGCACTCCAGTATTTATCATCTTTATACTCAAGATTTACTCGAATATATTGTTGATCAACCAACTAATAAAATCCTTACTGATTCTAACTCGGATTTTTGTGCACATAGTCAGATGAATAACGTTATATCAATATTTGATATAGTTGATATACCAAGTTTATTTTCGAAGAATTGCTTCGTTGAATTGTTTTTTTTAAATATTGGTCGAAATATTAATGACGAAATGGTTTACATACAATGAACTCAACAACTGAATGCCAACAGTTGAATGTGGTCTTAATATGAAATAGTTGTACGATATTTTATTTTTCAAGGTGACAAGATAATAGTCTTTGTCGAACTAATTAAGGAATACTTTTTTTAATTTTTCTAGCAAAGAATTCATTTTTCGAATATAAAGGATGTTCACTAAGTTTTGACCCGCTTAATCAATAAATTTATTGATTAAGCGGGTCAAAACTTAGTGAACACCCTTTAATCCAACAAGGAAATAGATTGCAAGGTCTGTTTCTTGAAAATAAAACAAAGTTTATAAAAAATTTTTTTTATTTATTGAGTTAAGGGTCCTTCATATGCGCTAGCGTATCTCTTCAAATAATAGACAAAAGAACAATACTCTTTTCTCTTTATCAAGTTTTTTTCTTCGAACAAAATCAAAATCAATTACATTTTCTTTTTCTCATATTCGAGAGTATTTCTATATAATTGAATATCATGAGGATTTGCAAACAGTGAAGTTTCTATTATTTTAAAAGCTTGCTCATAATATAAGATTGCTTTCGAATGCTCTCCAATATTAAAAGATATTATTTCAATATATCTATTAGATTGAGCCAAATCATGATGATTTGCAGTAAGAGTTTTTTGTTTGATTTCTAGTGTTTTCTGATGAAATGAAAGTACATTCGAATAGTCATCCATCTTGCTATATACTGAGTCAATGTTGATATAAGAAGCAGCCATATTAGCATCCCTTGGTGAGAGAATCTTCTGTTTAATTTCAATGTATTTGTTATAACAGGCAATAGCCTCTCTATATTCATCGTCATCATGCAGAGCATATGATTAATCAATGTTTTTTCTGAATCAATTGTTGTTTGATCAAGCAGGGTTTCATATATCTCCAAGGCTTTGCTGAACTGCCTCAGTTTAATCAGCAAGTTTCCCGAAGGATCTTATCCTTTCTTCTGAGGATAATTCTTTTTAGGCATCTGTTCAGTAGGTGTATGGAGATTTCGATCATTGTCACTGGTCAATGTTAAATCGGCTTGCTAAAGATGATTATTTCTATCGATTTTTTTCATTGGTCCTATACAAAAAACGGAATGCATGGAGAAAAGAACTTTTTCTTCTTCTTTGAAATAACTGAAATCATGGATGTCAGTGAATTGTGTTGATGCGATGAGTGAATGAATTTTCATGACGAATGAAATACCAACAAGATCGAACATTTCCATAGTTTGACGAGCAAAATTGACGAACAGTTGACGATGCATACTAGTCGATAAAAAATTATTAAATGATAACAATCCACCCTGCGCTTTGATCATCCGATCAAAGCTGGCCCTCAGCAGTCCTTGATCACAATACACAGTAAATGAATTCGAAGTTGAGCGTGCGGCAAACCATTGAGCATGAAGCTTAACAATGTGATTGTGGAGATCGCAAATAAAAACTCCCATGCGTATGATGAGATCGACCTCCACCCTTCTTATTGATCGATTCAATATTGAATACAAAACATATTGACTGGTATACCACCAAACGGGAGACGCTTAAGATATTCATGTTCGAGTTTGTTGACGTATTGAGGTTCATACGAATTATCGGCGAAAATGTCGCCACAGTACGTAAAAAATTCGTCGATATGATGTTGGTTGAAATTGATGGTTAATAAAATTTTCTTCATTATTTGTGTGCATATAAATGAAGAATCTAATTGATTGGGATTTTGCTTGGTAGATGCACTATCAATGGTGACAAAAGTGATCGAGTTCATGTTTTTATCACATTCTTGTACAGCTTGTTAAAGGGCTTTACAGATCGGAGCAATATCCGTAAAGTCCCCTTTTATTTTTGGTCACTGATTGATCCATTGTTCATATCGAGCTTGGTTCCAACGAAAAATGTAAATTGTACGTACCTGATACATGCCTTGTACGATGGGAACTGTGGTTTGCTCTAGTGCACTAGAAGCGATCATGAACTTTTTGTCTTGGTTGAGGTCCCTGATAAAAAGGATATGTTCATCGACATTTCTGAATGTGTTGGCCTTGTCGACTACTTCTTTTAATTTTGAAATTGTATTTTTGCAATCTTTGTTGTTTCATGGATCGATGCTGTTGTCGAGCCAGATAAGCAAAGGTTCTGAACCATACGAGTAGGAGGTGGCTGTCGCCATCTTTTGCCTGTAGATTCAGATGGTGTGGCAGCAACAGTTGCTATTATCGGCTTTGCCATTTT